AACGGACTACAATTTTCAGTGAAATATTGTTAAAATTAAAATCGAAAAGCAGTGATAAATGATTATTTGATTTTTTTATTGGATTTTTTGTGCTATAACTGGATCGTGTTTGTTTATTAAAATCGTATTTTTTGCGTATTTTTGTAGAAACAGTAATATATTCAAAAACAGAGAAATATCTGGTAACTTAAAAGTTTGTTGATTGAATGGTGATCAGAGTATGTTTTCAAAATTATCTTTCGAGCAGTCTTTTTTCTTGCTTAATTTAGGGACGACTGCAGTATAGTAGTTAATATTTATTATTTATAAATTAAAAAAAAAAACTTTTAAAGCCTTACTAATTAGATTATTAAATAAGTTACCTATATGACATATATTATATGTGTTCAAGTAAATTATATGATAAGTAGTAAAACAAACAAAGACATAAAGTGTATAACCTTATTTTTCAGTATCAATAGCGGATTCAGGGAGGGCACAGGGGCACGTGTCTCTCCTGTCAATGTACCATAGAAAAAATTTTGAAATGGTCATTTTTTTATTTATACATAAATATGATTTTAAAAACTAAATAAATATCTATATAATAGTCGGAAAGCTGGTATTGTCGAACGTCAAAAGCCATTATCATTGGTTTTAAATTAAATATTGCATCGGTATTAGATACTCCTATGGTACGTGAAATCGCACAAAATAAACAAAAGTTAATTATTTCCATAATAAAAACCATAATATATTGTGGTTTACAAAAATATCATTAATAGGCCACAAGGTTGACTGTCCTATTTATTATAATGAAAGTAAAGATAGCAATTAAAGTATTATGAAACAAAAAGGGAACTTTAAGGCTCTGTTACAATTTCGTATTGGCACAGGAGATAAAATCTTCGACGAACATTTAAATACATCACAATGTAATGCAACTTATACGTATATTAGTAAGACTATACGAAATTATTTAATAGATTGCTGCGGAGATGTCATAAGAAATTTAAAAACATAAAAAAAGGTTATATTACATTTTAATTGATAAAACATGCGATAATAGTATATCTGAACAATTTACATTTTTTGTTAGATATTTTTATGTAGATAAATGAAGATCGTTGATGAATATTTTCTTGAATTCAAAAAAGTTGAAAACATTACTGGAGAAAATTTGACTGATACTATAATAAAAATTATTGAAAGTAAATAAGTTATATATTTTATTTCTACGAGGACAAGGGTATAATGGAATGGTCTAACATGAGTGGTGCATTTAAACGTGTACAGTCGCGAATTTTAAAATTTAAACTTCTTGCTTTCTATACTCATTATGTAAAGCATAGATTAAATTTAGTATTAAAAAAATCTAATTATACTCCTTTCATATTAACATATGTTTTTATTTATATATTTTATATTAATTCATAATTATTTACTAAAAATATAAATAATGGGCTTCCCTTTCAAACAATTTTTGGATCCGCCGCTGTACAGTATATATTTATATTAAAAACGTTTTGGACAAAGGCTTATTGCTTAAATACTTGTGATTGTGTATAATTATTTGTTTTTAAATACTAAAAAGAGTATTTTTGATTATAATATACTACATATTTTATTGGAACAAAAAACATAATATTGCTAGTACAGAGTAGGTACATTTTTTAAACAGGGTTCAAGTATTAAAAAAGTTTCTTAACCTGGTTATTAAGCGAAGTACAGTAATAAAGTATTCTTAGTTTTAGTTTTAAATTTTATTTAGTTTAATATATGAGAGTATAATCAAGTTAACAATCGATAGATTGGTTTTAGAATTTAAGGTAATTATACTTTTAATTGAAGATATTGTAAAATTTATTATTTTAGATGTGTAATAGTAAAATTTGTGCAATTTACCTAATGCAGTTTACTTTCTGTGAAAGTTTGTGTAGTGTTTAAATTAAATTACATCGGAAAAGCGATATTTGAAAAAAAGAGAAAAATTCAATTTAAAAAAGAAAAACGTAAGCAGTGCATATTATTTGACTGATACTGAGTTTTATATAAAAAAAATACTTATTAAATAAATAAAAAAAACCATTAAATTTTAATTTATTATACCGGGTAGTATAGAATTTTACATAGTTTCTCCATCAAAATCTAGCACTACCATAATGCCTGGTTAACATACCCATACGTTTCCATAACATATACATATAAATTCATGGTTTGCATGTAAAACCACTGTTTTTATAAACGACGAGTCGACCGTGACAATCAATCATTCGATATTAAGAAAAAAAAAAACCTTATTTGATTTAATAAAACACCTCTGTATCAGTCAACGTTTAGAATTGTACGACTAAAACGCCATTACCTTGTCATCGTCATCGTTGACTTTTTTTTTTACAAGCTCTGTCTAAATGTAAAATGTACGATCGGTTATTCGTTTTACAGAATCGAGTAGCGCCGTAAAGACATTGGTTGCGGTTTTGTGCGTGACAATGTAAATAGAACGCTAGTCAAAAATATTTCATGCGTGTCACCGTCGAACGGACTAGACAAGTAAATCGTCCGTGTAATGTTGATGTGCAGTATGATAGATACATTTTGTGCGATGTACTTAATTTTAAGTCGTAAGTTTTATCGGAAACACTGTTGACAATAACGACGGTTATAGAACCACGTTCGATCGATTACGAGTGTACGAAATGAATCGCCATAACTTTTATTTGAGTTCTGAATTGATATTAAAATTATTAGTAAATTGATATTATTATTATTATAATTTTTTTTTTTTGTTTGAAAAACACTAATTAAACAGTTCTTTTTGACATTTGGTAAGTTTATAGCGATGAAGGACAAAACTTTATATTTTTTAACAGATAATTTTGACTTTTAAAAACCTGTCTGAATTGAAAATTTTCAAAGGAAACGTTTTACTTGATTGCTCTGTCAAAAATGTGACTTTCTACCACCTACAGTTGTGTTAATGTAAAAGAAAAGTACTCACAAAGCTTGGCTAAAAAAACTTTATCCCTTCAATCCAAAGTAGAAATATATGAATGCAATCATATACATGTTATTTAAGTATGTTTTTGATCTACATATATGTGAGATGTACAAAGTAAATATATAATTATTGAAAAAATGTGATACAATGTGATTTAATATTTCCAAAGTAATTTATTTTTCTTGTCGTTATATTTTTTAGAAAACCTTTGGAAATTTTTCTTTGTAATATATCTATAAATGAAAAAAAAATAATTTTCATCTACACGACAGTTTTTACTTTGCATGAATAGATAAGGCTACTGTTCGGATAATTATTTAAGTAAAAATATTGTGTGAGTTTAAGTTCTTAGAATTGTTGTCGATTATGAAGCTTCTAACTACAAAGTAGGGTTATAATAAATTACTAATTGTTTGAAAATGTATCAATGTTAGATTGGACTTTATAAGTATAATAATTTATTTCACGTGATATACCTAATGGTAAAAATAATTGAATTTATAAATATTGAAAACTGCGATTATAATTGCGTTTAATACAAATTCGTTTGTATTTTTTGATTGAACAAATATCAGTTTGCGGCTATAATAAAGACCAACAACTAACTATATAAGAAAGTTTGATTTAGAAATAACTATTAGAACACTTCATGTTTTTAATTTTAAAACTTAAATACTAAATAGAACGAAGACTGGAAAGTTTCGATGAATATGGCTACTAAAGTTTGAACGACGACGATAGGTACCTAATCGATTTTACGGGTTATGTGTTTCTTTCTTTTTTTCAGTTATATTTTTCTAAGTACTTTCAGTTTTCAATAATAAACATTAATTGTTTCTATTTTTTTTTTAAAATTCGTTTCTCATTTTCAATGCACTCTATAAGCAATTTTCATGAGAGATTTTAAAGAATAACTCTTATAACATTTTACCAATTAACTAACCCAATAAAAGTATACTTTAAACGCCAAGTGGACGTCGTTGATTGAATATACTTATAAATTTAGCCAATTAATAGTCTAACAGTGTTATGACGTAAACAACAGTTACATTTCGAAATTAAGTTTTATCAGTAGTTAAATGTCTATAATATATAATGATAAATATTTTATTATTATTTCGACGTTTGTTCATTTAACACTTTATTGGGGTCTGCAACTACAAAGCAGATACCTACCTACACTAATCGAATTTTCAAAACAGCTATAAACATTGTGGTTTAAACAGTAAGTATAACGAATAAAATACAGTTAATTGGTGCGCACGAACCATTTTAAAATAAAATACTGTTATACTGACTAGGTACAATACACTTTGGACCGCAATACTATTATTGGGATCTATTTTTTCTACATACCCGATTTTTCGTGCTCTATTCGCGTTCCTTTTTTTTTTATTACACTGCGGTTTACCGTCTACAATAACGATAACATTAGACCACTTTTCGATTTAATCCGCTCGTACCCGACCCACCGACCAATTATGTTCACTAGTTTCTTTACCTACGTGCTTTTATCGACGTTTATACCATGACATTATGTGTTTGTTTCATTCCATACACATACACACATACACAAACACAAATCAAATTAATATTTAATTTATTATCCATCATCTAACCGCTGTCGAAAATATAATTATATACGATTATATAATAATCTAGACATTGTGCGACGTGACGAAATCGAACAAAATGGGATCATTTAAATTTAGTCTGATGAATACATATATAATATATCTATTATATGTATTTGGTTCTATGGCAAACGTTTTATAGGAAATTGCAACGAAAGCTTTGACATTTGTTTTGTACGGTAGAATTAATAATAATAATAATCATAACACCATTTCAGTTGCAAGTTCGAATTTTTGACATATTGAATTATTTTGAGCAAGTATTGATTGATGATACAAATCTTACAGATAATAGGTAAAACAGAGATTGTACTGAGTTGACTTAATATATAATTGTTATTGATATGATTATTTGTGTTAGAGACTCAATATTATATAATACTCACAGTAAACGCTCAACGTTATCCTTTTGCTGACTGCAGGTGGTATACCGTTGCTGGCTATGCAGAAGTAAACACCGGTTTGCCTTCTGTCAAGCCGCCAAAGTTTTAGATCATTACCGACATATGAAGTGTCTGCCAACAAAAAAACAGAAATAACAGTAATAATAATGGCAATAATAATAATGATAATAATAATAATAATAATAATAGCGATGGAAATAATAATAATAATAATAATAATAATGACATCCGTTAACTACCAAATATTAGTGGTATAGTGTGCTACCCCATACATACCACCACTATTGAAAAGTATACTTTTCCTCTCTTGTGATACTATGACTATCTCTTTACTGTCTTTCCGCGCTTGGATGACGGACGTTTTACCGACCTGTCGACAACCTTTGTGCTCCGGGCGATGTTTTTATGCACAAAATCTTTTAGGAACCATTTGCGCAAGAGGAAAAGAGTCGACGGGGTTTCCCTTTTTATTTTTGCTTTTTGGTTTTGACATATTCAAGTACATGTTGGTATTTTATACACCGCAAGGCTAGGGGTCAAAGATAGCCACAAAATTCAGACTCTGTGGTAAAAAATAACAAAAAATAATTTCCGCCGAAAGCCTTTTAGAAAAACATGGAACTTTAATTAACGTTTAAACTTTAAATTTTTCTATAATGTATAACACAAACTGTGATAGTATGTGATAATATTTTTTGATTTACTTTAATTAATATCGACGTGAACCGATGAAATTTATAAGAAATATATTTTTCTTACACTGGAATATTTTATAATACCCATTTCACTACTGTTTTAGTATTAGTAAAACACAGAATTTAATAATGGAACAGAATTGATTGTAGACTACATACAGATAGTGGATATAAAAAATGAAAAACAATTTGAGTATAAATACCTACATAGTATAGAAATGATGATCGCTAATTCACTAGTATTTGGTTAAATAAAAATAAAAATATATTATACATAGGTTAGAGTTAGCGTATTAATGTGAACAGTATAGTTTACACTGAGTTATGTATGTTTCAAATTTAAATATTGTTATTGAAAAAATTAAAAATATACTTTCATTTTTATTAATTAAAAATGTCCTGATTGATTTTTCAGATTTTATCGGTGGTTGTATCTAGGTATGTACACATTTTGTAAATAATAAAAATATTTTTTCTAGATAAATACCTAAGTTATCATATTAAAATAGTAATATTAAAATCTTAACGGTAAAAAATCGAAACAAATTAATTATTCTCATTGATCACTTATCGTTAATATTCGAAATCTGGTTTCTCCAAAGAAGAAAGAAATTACAATATTAATAAAACTATTTGTCAATAATGTAGTTTGTTATCAGAGTGGAGTGTCCCGAGTCTTTCAATGCAAATTATTTTTTGTCACAGTCGTGTCGTTTTTTCAGTCATGATTTTTTACGTGTGTACAATTTAGTATAACTATATAAGACGTATTTTATATTAAATAATATATTAAAAGTAACTTTAAAAATTGGAAAAATTAAGTTATGGATGTATTCTTATTTTGTCACTCAATTTTCTTGGGATTCACTAAATTGAAAACATGGAAACCTACATCGCTGTGTGTAATTTATATTTAAAAAAATCATTTGAAGATTGAATATATGATTAAAGAGTCAATTCATCAAAAATATTTATTTTGTCGTATATATATATATATATATATATTAATAGATTATGGTACTAATTATTTTAGGTAGTAGGTACTTATTTAGACACTAATAATATATTATATGAAAGATTAGTATTTAAACAAATTATTCTAACACTAATTCAACAATAAACACGGAATTAAATTTACTAATAGTACTTTGGTATAATAACGATTGTGACGGTTAACAATTAGAAGTACTAATTTTGTAAACCTCGTATACATTAACTAATTTTGTGAGTGATGAGAGCTATTGTTGGTGTTTGTTTTTGAACGCGCGTTCAATTATTATTTTAAGGGGTTATTTACCATTTCTATTGTAATGTTAAATAATTCTTTTATTTGAATGTTGTAATAAATTTAATTCAAATTGAATTAATGTTATCATTTTCAAATAAAATAAAATTTAAAAAAAATTGTTCGAGTTGCGCATTTTTTAAATTGCGATAGTGGAGTGATATTATCGAAACCTTAGTTGAATATATGGTGTAAAAATAAAATTGAAAATTCTAAATGACAGTTTATTGTTTAAATGGATTATTTAATTTCGGTATTTTTTGTTTTAGAATTGCCCTTATTATACGAGCAATCTAAGTTAAAAAAATCATTAAAACATAGATGGTTGTTTTTATTTTTTAAATTGACAATCGATTCTGTGCAATTATATTATTTAAATTTTTCAAGGCGAGAAAAAGCTCTATAGTTTTGTTTTATAAGAAAAATGAAAGCAATAAGTTTCTGTTTGACTTGTACCTTTGTTCTAGACGTTTTAATTACGAAATTTGCGAAGTGTATGTCAGAGATGCTAATGTACATTACACAATATTTTTTATTTATATCATTTAACAATAAATTTAAATTTGCATATGAAATAATTATTCAGCCAAAAAAGCTAATTCAACATATAATAAATTGCCATTTAAGAATATCAATAATTCTTTATTTATTGGAAACAAGTGGATAGATAATTTCTAGTATATAAACGTCTACCAAAACTTGATATAGATATATAATTTTTATAATTATGATTTACAGTAAATATTTCTTGTCTGAATTTTTTTTAAACTATTTTTACCATGAATTTAAAGCTTAAGCCGGTGATGAAACGTGCATTTAATTGTGTTTTGTTAAACGACTTCATATTTAACAGTGGTATAAACTAAAATTGATTTTTTTTTCATGAAAACCAACAATAGTGTATAATACAATAATTGTGATGCTGAAGACCATAATTTCTTCCGTTTTTTTAAAAAAAAAATGCGTTAATTCAGAACGCACGGGAAAAGCGCACTTGCAATAAGTTTTCCGCCTATACAGAGCATTACAATTAAAGTCTCGATGGTAGTTGCGTAGGTAGGCACGCTACTCAAAGCAACTTAAACGTACATAAAAATGTCCAAAGTTAACTTTTAAACGTAGTTTTATGGAGCTGCGCGCGAAGGTGAAATTTTAATATACTCATATGGTTGAGAGTTTTTAGACCCGAAAGACATCAGGCGTTGTTATCTATCACGCACTTACCGTCGGCTCCTTGGTATATAAAACCACGCGAGCGGAAACCGTATATACGAGTAGATTTAGAAACTTTTACAAAGGGCCACAATAACAGTTTCGCACTGCTTCCTCTGTGTTTGCTCGAAAAACCACTCATCGGTTGTAAACTAATATCGCGCACGCGCGCGTACCTCATATAATGTACTCGGCAGTCTGCTTTTTGTATAAACATTATACACATAGACATCTAGTAAAAACGGGTATTGGCCATAAGATAACCACGCTCGGCATATTATATCGCAATACGCCGATAATAAATAGTGGGCAGCCGTTTTTCGTTAGTGATAACGCAAAGCGATGATCAACCAATTGACAATTATTACGTGATAATCAAAAGTCATGAAAAATATTATAATTTTTGATACTTTAGATAAGACAAACTAGTGTATTTTTAAACGCGTTAAAAAATATTTACAAATTTTGGGTGGTTTTTTAACGATATCCCAAAAGTTTGGTGAAAAAATCAAAAAAACAATTTTATATTGATTGAAGACTTTTGCATTAAAAAACTCGCGTAAAAATAAATATCAGCTCTCTAAAATATGTTAATATTATCGATATAGATTAATACATAAAATATATACTAAATATATAATAAAATATATACATAGAAAATATTTTTGAATTTGAAAACACGGTCTTAAAGTATATTTAAAAATTAGAATTAGATAAATTTATTATTCTTTAAGAAAAAGCGGATGGCATGCTTAATGAATCGTAAACCTTCATCGATGAATCTTAAATAGTATAAATACTATTATATTATTGCAGTTATAGTTGCTTTATTGATAATAATAGCGGAGTATTAACTTTCCCCACTGAGCTACACCACTGACGAGTCAGAAACGTTAAAACAACTTTAACCTGAAGTAATATCGGTCTTATGCACGAATGTGCGCAAAAGTACAAGTAAAAAATCCATACATCAGATAATTTGAGGCGGCGAGGGGTCGGTTGCTATAATTGTAGATGTATTGTCGTATCGAAAATATTGTTTTAAGGGAACCGGTGCCTCCGGGATAAAATCCTACAATGGTATTAAACAAGAATTTCATAGAAAAGTTTTCGCATTTATTTTGTCGTGTTTATTGACGTCGCGCTTGGTTCGGTGATTTGTATGATTTTGAAAAAGAAAACTAACAAAGCGCGTTTAAGTGGTCGAAATGTATTCCAATATCCCCGCCACCACCGTCGTGCGCGGTTTGGGATTTGCTTGAATTTTTGATTTGTTTCGTTTCGCTAAGGTAGTATAATACGTAATAAAGAAAGCAAACGTTGCCCGTCTGTAAAGTCTCATTTCACGATAACTACTTATAAAATATTTCATACAAGTTTCCTATTGTGTACTGCTAAAACATTAAATAAAAGTTACAAATAGCGTACGTAATTTAAATGAATCTCTAGAATCGCCGAGAAATGCGCAAAGTAAAAAGTTTAATACTATAATTATTGCGGCGTTGAGTTCTGATGTTTACCGCATGTTAGTTTGTGTGTACTTACTCAAAATGTAATTGTAGACTTCGAGGACTTAGCGCGTAACAGGTAACGGGATGACAATGAGCCTGGGGTGTAAATTCACTTTAGAAGTGCAATATAATTTCTATTTTTTGGTTTTGTTTTGTCGTTTTTAATCGTGTTGAACCCATTTTATTCATTTCTCGGTAGAGTTTAAGGTCAGCGTCTGTCTTGTACGTAACAAACGTACACGGAAGTCCAATAATAGCCGATTTTCGTAGTAGTGCGTGTGTGCTCTCCATAACTGTTTTTTCTTGTAGTTGTCCTTCACTAATCGCCAATTATTATTTTTATTTTTTACTTTTACTAAATAATTATTTTTAATTTGTACTATTCGTTAAATTTAATTTAATTAAATG